TTTTTGTTCATGTCTGTTGTAATTATTAGAGAACTCATAAATAAAAACGTGGAGTTTAATATATGTTCAGTTTGTGTTTATGGAATATGCAAACCTATTGTGTTTTGAGTTTAATATATGTTCAGTTATTGTTTGAAAAAAAACAAACAATGTAACTGTAATATGTGGTTGCTTGGGATTTTATTTTGGTGGTCGGGGAAGGAGGGCTTCCGGTATGAGAAGGGACGTGACGAGAGTGACAGGGAAGATGGAGGACATCACTGTTGCTGTGAACTGTCACTGCTGCCGTGGACTATCGCGGTGGGGGAACACCCCACTGAACTGCTGTTCTTGCCAGTGAGGGGGTAGAAAAGGACTCCCGTTGACCTGTGGAGGTTGAAGCTGCGTGGGTGACTAACCCCGTGGAGAACAATCCCGTTAGGTCGCTAGCTCTGTGGCTACCGCTAGCGGGCTTCGGCGAACGGTTGGTGGCTAGCCAGCCGTGAGAGATGCGTGGACCTCGGAGAACGGTTGGCGGATAGCCAGCTGTGTGTAACGCGAGGACCTCGGCGTGGATTCTTCAACCTTGGGGAGAACATTGGACAGAAGCAGACAGACTACGGCACGTACGACCTCGTGGAGAGGGACGTATTCAGGTGATGGGGGACATGGTTGTTGGGGACGTTAATGGAAAGAGCGGGAAGGGCGCGAGTGCAGCAACATCAGGCCTGCGACGACCGAGACTAATTTTTAGCTGCCGGCTTTAAGTTTCCTATCTGTTTAACGAGGTTAATCGTATCATTTCTATTTCATTACTGACTGAAGAAACTGTGCTATTGTTCATTAAACTGTTTATTAGTTTAAAACGTATGCTTATTCTACTGTGTTATACTTCATGGTATAAGGGGTAAACATTTAGAATATTCAGGTAGAGATACCAACTGATTTAAAGAACTCGGGTTAGCCACCCCCATAACGCTAAGGACGCTAGGGGGCGCTACATATATATATATATATCAGAGTCAGAGAGTCAGTTTCTTTATTGTCATTCGCACCTCATGTGGTACATGTGGTGGAGCGAAATTATGTACACGGGGTCCCAGTTACATCCGACAATAAAATGTATAAGAAAAACAGTAATAACATCTAAGATATGAACTAAGAAAAACATCAACTAAATATACACTAAGCACTCATAACATAAAACATTGAACATCAGCACAAACATGAACATGAGTCTGTGAGTAGATGTGCACGCATGAACACATCAAAATTGAAACAGATCACCAGCAACATGAAACAGATCAGCAGCAACATGATATGGTTTTTCACAGTGATTATTCTAGTTAGAGATTCATGAGTCTAACAGCCTCAGGGTAGAAGCTGTTCCTCAGTCTAGTGGTTCTACATTTAATGCTCCTTAACCTCCTTCCTGAGGGGAGTGGGGCAAAAAGTGTGTGTGCTGGGTGGGTGGGGTCCTTCATGATGCAGGTGGCCCTCTTCCTGCATCTGGAGGTGTAGATGTCTG